AAGGCTGATCTTTCCATCTTCCCATTATAAATATTTTCATAAAATCTATGTAAAGTTTATGGCCAGCATTTCCTCTTATCTGTAAAATATAAGATAGGTGGTGATAGACAAAGGAGGGATTCTAGGAATGTTAGAGGAGCTAGAGAACATTTTCAGCTGAGGAAATCTGGGAAGGCTCCATAAATCAAATGATGCCTGAGCTGAATCTTTCAGGAAGATAAGGATAAAAGGCAAAGATGAGGAAGGTAGGCATTTTAGGCAGCAGAGACCATCCACAGGAATACAGAGAAGCAGGAGAAAGCATGCTGAGCTCTAGGCTGGTTGGAAGGCAAAGTGCATGAGGAGGAGTGACATGAAAATAAGGCTGGAAAAGGTAGGCTGGAGTTGGACCATGAAGGGGTTTAAATGCCAGGCTAAAGAATGTGTATTTCATGATAAGCAGGCAGACTTCAGGAAAAACCTGGAAAAACCTGTATGGTCTGATGCTGAGTGAAGTTAGAAGAACCAAGAGGACGCTGTACACAATAACAGCCACATTGTGAGATGACTAATATTGATAGACTTAACTCTTCCCAGCAATACAAGGATCTAAGACATCTCCAAAGGCCTCATGATGGAAAATGCTATCCACATCCAAAGAAAGAACTATGGAATTTGAATGCAGATCGAAGCATACTATTTGCTATTTTTTTTCTCTTCTGTTGAGTTTTGCTTCCTTTTTCTGGTGGTTCCTCCTACTGGTTCCAATTTTTACTTACAACATCACTAATATGAAAATATGTTTAATAAGAATGTATATACATAGCCTATATCAGATTGTGTACCATCTTGGGGAGGGTGGTAGGGAGGAAGGGGGAGAAAAATTTTAAACTCAAAAGCATATAGAAGTGATTGCTGATAAATCAAAATAAATTAATTAAAATTTAAAAAAGAATTTGTATTTCATCCTATAGTAGGAAGCTACTAAGCTGGACAGTAATATAGTCAGATCAAGGCCTTAGGAAAATAACTTTGGCAGTTGTGTAAAATACATTTTGGAAAAGGGAGGTGCTGTAGGCAGGGAGACCAATTAGAAGATTATCATCACTGTCTACAGGAGATAATAAGGTAGAAGAACTAGGATGTTAGCAGTATGAGTCAAGAGAAAGGGAAAGATCCAAGTGATTGATGAAATTGAAAAAGGTAATAAATTTGAAAAAACTAAATAAATTTTACTTCTGAATAACCAAATCAAGATTAGCTTTAGTTAAAGCAAACAAAAATGAAAACCACCCCTAACTGAGAATAAACATGTAAATTCACAATCCAAACAAATATCAAGAATTGATCAACAAAAGATCTAAGACAACTCCAAAAGACTCATGATGGAAAATGCTATCCACATCCAGAGAAAGAACTATGGAGTCTGAATGCTGATGGAAGCTCTCCTTTGCTTTCCTTTTCTTTCGTTGTTTTGTTTTATTTCTTCTTTCTTGTAGTTCCTCCAATTAGTTCTAATTCTTGTTTACAACATGACTAATGTGAAAATATGCTTAATATGAATGTATAAGTAGAGCCTATATCAGATTGCATGCTATCTTGGGGAAGGGGGAGGAGGGGGAAGGAGAGAAAATTTCAAACTCAAAATCTTATGGAAGTGAATGTTGAAAACTAAAAATAAATTAATTATTTTTAAAAAACCTAAAAAAAGAATTAATCAACAAAAGGAAGAGGAGTTTCAGTTGTAAAATAGATTAGAAGGATTTCAAATGCAGTCTGTACATCTTAAATAAAATAACTCTAATGAAAATAGGTTCTTTAATACTTCAGGGATTTGTCATTTTGTTGATGTGAATGTTTGCTTCACCAAAGCAGATGGCCACCCTTCTCTAACTTAGGAGATAGTCTTTGAAGCACTGCTTTGGCTGAAAAACTCATCCCCGTGGCCAAATGGCCCACATATACATTGGGGTGTACATTTAAAGAGTGTTTTTCTTACTATAAACCTATGCTAGGGGTCACACAAGGACTATTAGCCTCATTTTAATGACAAGGAAACATTATCTGTGTAAGCCACATCCTCATTCCTGCCACGATCCCCTTCTAAACTCTGACCATTGCTATCTTTCTCTTTCTTTAAAATATAGGGTCTCTTCCATGGAGCCTTTCTTGCTCCAACAATCCAGTGATTTAAATAAAGCTTAACATCCCAACCTTTTTTTCCTTCTCTGATTTACACTAAACATTCCTCATAGTCTAACTTCTACCACAGTTATTAGTATATGTCTTATATCCCTGCTGTACTGTAAGGTCTTCAAGGGTAGAGACTATGCCTTTTTTCATCTATGTGTCTCCAATACTTAGCACATTAATAATAGACATTAATAAATATATGTTGCATTCATTACTGTCAATCAATTAGAGAGCTCTTCATGCTCCATGAAACGATACAGATCCACGGATGTCATCATAAGTAAGGACATCTGTTCTTGGCCCTGGGAAGAAGAGACACATATGGATGGTAGATGACTCTCTGCTGAGAGGCATGAACGCATACCTAGATCAATGTGACATGACCAGTCAGAAGATGAGTTGTCCTCGTGGGTCATGTCACATCCAAGATGTGACAGTGAGCCTTCAAAGATTTATCAGACATGATGTCCATCACCCACTTATGACAATATATATGGGAACAAATGATATCATCAGAAGGAACCTAGAAAGAATCCCTAAGTATTATGAAGTTCTCAGCATGAAACTGAAGGTCTAGAGGGCACAGGGGTCATTTTCATCACTTCTGCTAGTTAAAGGTAGGGACTTCAGAAAGTGAAGGAAGAACAGCAGGCTAAAAGGACATCAGGGAGAATGAGATTTGAATATCTGGATCAAGGTTCAAGATTCAAAAATGATGAGCTCTTTGACTAGGGACAGAATATACCTAATGAAGATGCGTCCCACCTTTTAGCAGAGGGGTGATGGACTAGAGGCACAGAATAAGCCATACATTTGTAGAAACAGACACTATGTGAATTTGTTTTGCTTGACTATACTTATATCTTACAAGGCAGTGCCTTTTATTTTGAGGGTGAGAATTATAGGGAAGAGGGTGGGTAGAAATAGTGATGCCCCAAAAAGAAGCATAGGGTACCAATAAAACATTTTAAAAATACATAAAGGAAAGCAGAAGTGAGAGCCCTGAACCTGTTGCTAGGATACATCTGGATATAAATCTTGTCTCAATTTAATTCAACAACCATTTATTGAGTATATAGTATGTGCCAGCCACCGTGTAAGATGCTAGAGATACAAAGTTTCAGCCTCTACCTTGGTAACCCAGGGGAAGTCACTTATCCAATGAGATAATATATGTAAAGTGCTTGGTCTTTACATATATTATATATATGCGTATATATATGTATAGATGTCTAATACATGTATATGGATGTGTATATATGTAAAGCACAGTGCCTGACACATAGTAGGGGCTTAGTTTCCTTTCCTTCCTTAACTTCAGCTTATTCATATGGGGATAATACCAATAGTATTTACTTCACAGTAAGTTGTTGTAAGACTCAACCAAGATAATGTGCATAAAGTACTTTGTCAATTGTAAAGTTCTATATAAATGTCAGCTGTTGTCAGTGATGATCATCATTGGTGATTACACTCTCCACTAAATGTCTGGTGTCTTTCTCTTTTTCAGATACACTGGAAATTGATCCCTCAGGGCTTTTCAAACAGGGTCTCCTCCAACTCCAGATTTCATTCTTATGAGAGTCCCTGTCTGGTCCAGTTGTTCCTCCCATCTCCAGTTTCTCTGGAGCCATTTTTCCTCCCCCATGTTGCTGATTAGGGACTGAAGTGTTGGGGTGCAAATGTGGTGGCTCTACTGTCACCAATCATTAAGCTAATTTGTCCCTAGAAATTCTGACAAGATCATCTCCATTTCTGGTTGGTTTATTGGCCCCCTCCCAATTTCATCTATAAATGCTTTGGGAATGATTTGGCTTAGCTAGGGTCTCATGCCAAGCTTTCTACAGACTTTTACTTTGTTTTCTGTTTAACAGAAGGAAAAATTTCCTAATGATGAGAGCTCTCAGGGCAAATCAGAAATGGAAAGGACTGTGTTGGGAAGTAATAATGATGACAACTGACATTTATATAGCATGATAAAGATTTATAAAGCACTTTCCTCACAACAACCCAGCATTATCAACATTTTACAGATGGGAAAAGAGGGAGAAAGTAACTTATTCAAAAGGTCATATAGTTAGTAACAGAACCAGGATTTAAACCAAGGTCTTTTGTTTCTACATCCAGTGCTCTTTCAAATACACTAGAGTAATGAGTTTCCTGGTCAGATGATTACTTGCTAAAGATGCTGTAGACAAGAGTCATGCTTCTATCAGGAGTTAGACTAGATAACCTATGAGGTGCCTTCTAATTCTGAGACTCTATTGCACTACAAAGAAAACAATTTGCTATAAACAATCCTCTATCAGGTCTTTAGTGGGTAATTTCATAGCAAACAATTGGAAATATATGCCAATATCATCCTCAACAAACATTTATTGAGTGTCTGCTTTGTGCAAAGCATTGAACTAAGTGGAGGGGATACAAAGAGGCATAAAACATGGTGCTGGACCTCAAGGAGCTCTCTTACAACCTACTTTGGGAGTCAGGATATCACCATATAAATACAAATAAATAAATGAAATTGTAGGAGATGCTAAGTAAATTATGGAAACAACATATTAGTAGGACAAATTTAATGTGTCCAGAAAGTTTAATTATGGAAAAGCATAAATAAATCAGTTTTTCTGTCATTGATCCTTCTTTCTTATCCCTTGCCATCATCACTCCAAATGTCTTGACTCATGCCATACACACAGGTGTTACTCAATAAATATTTGGTGGTAGTAATGACGTCAAAATAATTTACATCCACAGCTGATTATAGGAAATAGAGCAGTGACATTTATTTACAGAGTTATGTTTTTCTCACTAGTGGTGCAACATACCTGTTTGCTACTGTCATCTGAACTATCTCCAGAACTGGGAGAATGGAGAAATTGTTTACTCAGTTGGTTCAACTCTTCTCTAAGCCTTGTCTCCTCAGACTTGCTATTAAATTGCTGCCGCTCAGCATTTACATCTTGTTCCTGTTGAGGATGTTCTTCCCTTTCCATCTCTTTTGGATAAGAGCCCCCCTTCAATGGTTCCTTTAGCATGTCCATCTGTCTGCTACCTTCTGCTAATTCAGGACTTGATGCAAATATAACAAAAACCAGTCAAAATGTTCATTATTGTAGCAGAGGATAAAGAAAATATTTAAAGTAAAGACTGGAAGCAAGATTTACTAACTAGATGTATTAACAAAGCAGATACCCTATTTCCATGGGTGTAATTCTCCCGTGCCAACTATATAAGAGGCAGCAATGCATTGTAGGAGATGATAGTGTCCCTCTGCCCCCTCTAAGGTTTTCAGCCAGGTTTATATTCTAGGCAAGTAGAGAATGCCAGTTTTCGGGTCATATAAATGCATTTGAATGATCAATTGTTTAAAAAGTTAAATTCAGCAAAATAATAAGTTGTTTTGGTCTATGCAACACTAAGTAATGCATTTGACTGAATTTTCCACTTCTCAAACTGGCAGTTTGGGCATGTGCAGACAGATCTTGGAGGCATACAGAGAAAAATGACCATGGGGGGCGGGTCATTAGAGATTGCAACTATTCTTCCTTCTTCACCATGTTCACACTATTCCCAAGAATATCTAGGGTTCACTGTATATCCAAATAGGAAATAGAACTATTGCAGCTGTGTACAGAGCTGCTCTACTTCTGTGGTGAGAAATTTTATGTTTTCCCCAAAGCATTAACCCATGGGACTTTCATATCCAACATCATAGAGCAGTATCTACTACATACAGAACTGTGATTTGGTGCTAGAAATAGACTGGATTCCAGTCCTCTATGAAGTTCATAATCTAAGCCACACATACTGTTGTGAATATGCAATTAAGACATGCCTATACATGAACGTATAAGGATTTATATAATTTACTGGTCACAGGGATGAAGAGTTACAGACAATATATCACTTGGATTAAAATTAAAGATATTAACTATAGTTCCTAGTCTTCAGTGGGCAAAAGGAGAGGAAACAGCTAATTTTCCTCTAAAAGATTTTATGAAGAAAATATTTTCTTCTTCTGACCTCTCATAGCACTTCATACATGTCATACTCCGACTGTATCTAGAGCCATTACACAGGTATTACGGAATACTCCATTTTGTGTATATGTCATGACCCCCATTAGACTGGAAGCCCATTAAGTACAAGAAGTATGAATTATCTTTCTATCTCTCAGTATTTACAATGCTGCTTGGTGAGTGCTTAATAGTTTTCCATTAATTAATTATAGGAACTGTTTATATGCTATAAGAGGCTATGAGGTAAAAGGTGATCTGGGCATATGACACGTTCATTATGGCTTGATGGTCAAAGAGAGATGAAGTAACAGACGTTTTGGGGCACATGTCCCTGAGATAAGTGGATAATGTATAATGAGGTATGAGAGGAAATGGAGGTAATGAGGTTGTTTAGGGCCCTCTGGTTCTAAGGTACCAGGGCGAGAATTTCAAACTTTATAAGGCTTCCTAAGTAGGTCCAACATACACATACCCACAAGGGGAAAATACTCCATAGGCTGATACATGTACTCCTCTAAATACAGTCACATAAAATACTGACAGAGCTATAAATATTGCTAGCCTCCATCAAGAGGCAGTTTTGGAACCAGAATGGATAGTTAAGCAGCTATGAGACGTTAGTACTGTTTCTATTCTCATGTTATTCTCTCTTTCTCCCTCCTGTGAAAATCCACTCATCAACTCTCTACTCCTTCAACCTTCTAATCCAATGGAGGATACATAAGTCCTTGAAGAACAGAAAATATGAGTTACTCATATTATGAGCTCATCTTTTTAAAGGGGAAAAGAAGCCACTTTAATAAAATTGTGGATCAAGTGCTAAGGAAGGTCTCTTTGAAATCACAAATCAATGGATCCTCCCCTAAATGACATATCATCACAGAGCAATTAAATTTCCTTCTATGACATAATGACAGTAGGTCTTCCTTAAGGCTAGGAAGAAAGGAAGGAACAGGGGAATTCTATCTCCACTTTCATTTTTATCCCATTGGCTACCACTCAACAAATAAAGATGATATTTTTAAAAACTTCTATTTAGTGGGGACATAGACAGGCATGTTTCTAGTATCACATTCAGTAGGTGTTTATTAATGTTTCAATATCAACTTGTAGAAGTATAAGAATGAGGTTCCCAAGGAATAAGTATTGGTATGGATACCATTTAATTATATCTAAAGTGATATAGACAACAGAACTGAATTTATGTTAAATCTACAGATGATAGTAAATTGAGTTTGGAACAGAGGAATTTAATTAAAAATATTGATAGGGAAACAATCCATTAAAAACCCCAAAAGATAAAATTCAATTGTAATCAATCTTAGTTCTTATACCTAGCAAAATCAGTGACCTGGCACCATAATTCCCACCTACAGTTTTTGCTTTAAGCTATTGGATTAATCTAACACAGGAAACATGTGATTAGACCAAGATCCATAGTCCAAAGTTCAGCATCAAATCATTCTTGCTGCTTGCTGTAATCTTATAGTCCAAATTCTAGTAACCAGGCTCTTGTCTTATTCCTTGTAATCAATGCACGTTACACCTCAATTACAACAAACTGGATTTCTATATTATTCTCTCATATTCAAATCCCTTTCTTAGTCTCATGCTCTTTGGGCCTGGAGCCCAGCTTTATTTACCTAGTTCTACCTCTGATGTCCAGTTCCTGTGGCTTGTTTTTTGAGAGATGCTGACAAAACTAAACATCTATCTTGTCTGAACTTGACAAGATTGCCAAGATTGTCCACCTGCTGAGACATGCACCTGTTATCCACTCCTTCTAGGGGTGGGGAACCTGTGCTCATGAGGCCCTGGTACACCTCCCTAACAGCCACAGGTACTGGACCTGTCTACTGCTGAGATCGATCATCAATAACTGTCCTGCCCTGGTGGGTCCTCTTTCTAGGCCCTTGCCCTCTCTGGTCTTCTTCATCTGACTGCTAATAAAACTTCAGTTCTAACACTTAAAGACCAAAGACAAACTAAACAGACACATTGAGGAAAGACAAATTGGGAACAAGTAGTGTGCAGCAGAAAGAAACATAGAGCTCTAAGTTTAATATGGAAGTCAGTAAAAACCACTTAACACAAAATCTTAGACAAGTACCAGGAGAGTAGGGTTGCCTGACTTTGGTCTTCATGTCCATTTTGCCTAGCACAAGGTTTGGCAAATGTTAGGGATTTTATAATAGACAGATAGGCAAGCACGCAGACAGGCCCTTAAAGACCTCTAGTCCAACCTCCCATATCACTGCCAGAGCTCCAGCACCTTGCAGTCCATGTATCTTAGCATGGTTGACAAGGCATCTCCTGTTAAGGCCCTGGGCAAAAGTCCTATTACAAGGCCTCCAACCATAGCTGATAAATTAGACAGTAATGCAGACTTAAGAGACAGTGCATCCAGATGGAACTTGGCAAAGACATGTCTACCCTGAGGATACAGTACTGTTGCCTACTATCAGACTCAGAATTAATGGACTGAAGAAGATGAAGCTACTATCCTAGTGGAGCCAGACCTCTGCCCTGGGGCCTCTTTAGATATACCAGGGTTACTCAAAAAAAAGAGCCCCTGATTAAGGTTAACAGGCTACAAGCATCTGTTAATAGAACTTGTCCTTCAGCGAAAAAAATCTGGCTGTTGCCATGGACCTCAATCAGGTTCCTTACCTCACCATCCTCGATAGCTCTAACTCTAATTGGCCGGCTGACCATACATCTGTCTATTTGGCCAGCGCCCCCCCCCCTTCCACTACACCCTGCCCCCGCGTAGGTTCTCATCTATGACTTCCATTATATCTGCTTCCTTTGCTTCCACCTTCATCACATGCCAGCTCCCTGATCTACTCTTTACTGGATTAGGATTTCTACCTTATAGCCTGATAGAGCACTTGCCATTCTTGCTTTGATCAACCAGTGTCAACACTTGTACATTACATCTAAATAATGGCTATTTTTTCATAGCCATTTAGAAAACCACCTGAACTGAGCTTGTCTCTTCATATATAGGGAAGAAATTGGCCCATACCAGTTCCTCTTCCCAGATAAATCGTTACTTCCATACTCCCACTTGCTAGTTATCTCATTCTTCTCAAAGCCCATCACTTCTGCTAAGGCTAGCTCCTTCAGCCAACTGTCTTTGACCCTAGCCCTAGAACCACTTGCTATTTCAATGTCTCTGAGTCATCCACCTCCTTATCTTTTCTGGGTACCTGAGGATAGTAACCTCACCAAGACACTTTGAATATGTCTAGCATCATGAATAGAAAATACAGCAACAACTCAAAGTAGAATCCCTGAGGGACAATGAATCAGCTGCACTGCAAGAATCAATCAACAGTATGCTTAGCCCAAAGAAAGGGAAGACTTAAAGGAAATATAGCAGCTGTCCTCTAGGCTGGCAAAAGGTACTAGAATTAAGACTTGTTCTTAATTTGGCCCAAGAGGGCAGAGCTAGGAATAGAAATTATAAAGGAGTAAATTTAGGCTTAATGTTAGGAATATTCTCCTATCGACTCTATTAAAAAGTGGAATGGGCTGTTTTAGGAGGCAATGGGAAGATTTTTGAGCAAATGGCTATTTGTGAAGATATTGCAGAGGAGAGAATTTTTTTTTCAGCTTTAGGACTATGAATAGGTTTATCCTCATAGGTTTATGAGGATCCTAGGATTCTGTGAATAAATATTTACAGAGCACCTCCTCTGGACGAGGCATTTTACTAGATCACGTGAGCCTGAAATGAAAAGAAGTTATGATTCGGGGCACAGAAGGAGATGAATGGGCAGGTAAAGTACTGAGAATCCAAGGCTAAGGTGTGCATCAGGATGTATTACATAGTGCCAGAGCTCCAACTGTGGACCTGGACATAGAAAGCAGATGGACAATAAGACCTCTTTAGAGGGGAGCAGTCCTTATGGCAGTGTCTCCTAGATTACCAGCAGGTTCAGAGCTAAGACAAGTTTCCTTGACAACTCTTCTGAAGGACCATGGCTCTAAGCCATATTCCTGAGTTAGATTTTTGCTCATTCTGATTTTTCATAATATTTTCTA